ACACGAGGGGTTATGATTCAACTAAATTATTGTATATTAAGGGGAAAAACAAAAGTATGGAATGACGAGAGAGGGATGGAAATAGTACTTGTTCTGTGCCATCAAGTTTCCCTTTGTAAACCCTCCCAAAACCGCCTTCGCCTATCAATTTGTCTGGATGGAAGTTGTTAGTTGCAACACAAAGTTCCCGGAAAGCAAAAATCTGAGCCGAAATATTTCCTTTGCCAACCTTTGCTATCTCTTCCGCTATGTACTTCCTCCTGCTGCTGTCTGCAGGTTAAAATTCTCAAACTTAGAGGCCAACAGTTTGAACTAGCTGTTCCACACTGCCAAGTATTACTAGTAATTATATATTAGGATCTGCAGCCAACTTTCAATTTCAGAAGATTGGACAATTTGTGATAAATATAACAAGGAGAGAAGGTCGATTTTTATACGGTAAAACCAATCTTAGCCTTCAAAGGGACAAATCTCCATCAAACCAAAGGCAAATAAATTGGGGATATTTCATGTAAAATCTTCCACATCACATAAAGATAAATATATGTATGTATATGTATAAATGTAAAGAAAAAAAACTGATAAATTGCAGCCCTTGAATATGAATACATGATTGATGGACCAAAGTGTTGAAAGACGTCATAAATCTTTGATATACGAATGCATGATATAATCCCTAACATGATTTAACGATTGGAAAGTAAGTCCTCGTCGCAGATCCATTCCCTATTAGAGAGTAATCATGTATATTATATGTATGTATGTCTGTCTTTTGATGTAATGGTGTCATTTGATTTTTAGGGAAGATATACGGCAAGAGAAGAATTTACCTGTTTTGAACGAAATGTTAGCAAAAGAGGCTAAAGTTTTGGTGTCATGGTATTCCTTGATACTCTTTTTTAACGACTTCCTGGTGATTTTCTCTTCTGACATGCAACATTGGAAGCAATTCATCTTTTCCTTTTGCCTCGTCAACTCTACTCCGATCAACCACCTTCAAATTGTCATCCCAAATCTTGCATGGATTCCTCGAAAAAACCACTCATAACATACCAAGTGAATTTCAAAACTTTGGTACGCGACTCGATCCAAGAAACCAAGAAGTACAGACGAAACAAGCCTGAGAAATTGGTTAGACAAATGAGGGATATCGATCTGATACGTTACAAAAACACCCTCGGCTCTGGAAAAACCAGAAGGCTAGTTTCTGGTCCTTCAAGAACCAAGAGCTTGATCCCGCACATTGTTTCTTTTGCTTGCTCTCTCTATCCAAACCATTGAGTTCGGACAGCCAAAACAGACAAGGTCAAGTTTGCTAAATATAGAGGGACAGCCGGGCATTCTATTTTCTTTGACCATACCAAAAATGGGTTTTGTTTTTTCAACATTAATTTGTTCTTCTATTTGTGTTAAGAGAAACAACCTCCTATTATTTCCATTACCAAAAGTTAACCTTTCCTTTAAAGGTCGTACCCAGTGCACAAGGCTCCCGCTTTATGCAGGGTCTGGGAGAGGTGAATGTCGGCTAACCTTACCCTCATTTATGGAGAGGCTGCTCCCAAGTCTCGAACCCGAGACCTACCGCTTATGGGCGAAGGCACTTGCCATCGCACCAAGTGCGACCTCTAAAAGTTAACCTTTCCTTTAATTGGAAAAAATCCCACAGTGAATTTCCAACCAAATCCACATTTATCTTCCCAGCAATTTTCTGGGGATGTAAAGAGATTATGCAATTTGTAGTAGAAAAACAACTTCATTTTGCATACGTGGGTTAGGCCAGCCAGTTTGCCGCCCACCTTACACCAAGTTTGAGTCCCCTCTCTGTGAATTAGAATAATTTAGAATGAAATGTCCTTATGTGCTGATAGGGAATTTGAAGTCGGAAACATGAATGAAGTCTATCATATGTGCAATTCGAATGACACAAATGCCATTGAGTAGGGAAAAAAACTTGGTTTAGGGGTGTCAGATCACGTCATTTCTAGGGTGCTTCTCACAAAAGCATGAGACTCTCCTGAATTTGGTCTCACCTGATCCGACGCTAATCCCGCCTGGTGTGAGAGCTCCTTACCGAAGTTTCTAGATCCAATGAAGCTTCTATTGGACAAGATTAAAAATAAATAAAACAACCCAAGGGTGAAATCAAAAGGAGAGGATCAAAACGGCAAATCAGTAAACATTTCAGTTCTGTTATATCTAAAATCGATCCTGGATTATAGAACAGTCTTTGCCAACAATTTATATCAAACAACCCTGTTTCGACTGTCATAGTTTAAATTTAGGGTAAAAGACTGTTTACTACCCTCATATTTCGTGGTTTTCAATATTTAGTACATCATGTTTTTTTCGTCTCAGAGTCATACCTAAAGTGTAAATTTTGGGACAGTCTCATACATCCGTTAGTCAAACTGTTAAGTTTTTCGTTAACTGTGACGTGGCGCACTGAGTGGGCGCTATGTGTCATCCACGTTTTTTTTTTTTTTTCTTTTTTCTTCTTCTTCTTCCTCCGACTGCAACTTTCTGCTTTTTTTTTTTTTTTTTTTTTTTTTTTTTGCTTCTTCCTTTTGCTTCTTCCTTCCTTCCTCCTTCCTTTCCCTTTCTTCCCCTTCTTCCTTCTTCTTCCTTCTTCTTCCTCCGAAATTTGGGGAATGTTTTTTTTTTTTTTTTTCTTTCTTCTTCTTCCTCCTTCTTCCTTCCCCTTCTTCCTTCTTCTTCCTTCTCCTTCTCCTTCTTCTTCTTCCTCCGAAATCTGGGGAAGTTTGTTTTTTTTTTCTTTTTCTTTCTTTCTTCTTCTTCCTCCTTCTTCTTCTTCTTCTTCTTCTTCTTCTTCCTCCGAATCTGCCCAGATTCAAATTTTTTTTTTCTTCCTCCTTCTTCCTTCCCCTTCTTCTCCTTCTTCGTTCTTCTTCTTCGTTCTTCTTCTTCTTCCTCCGAATTTGGGGGAAGATGAAAGTGTTTTTTTTTTTTTTTTTTTTTGAGGAAGAAGATGAAGAAGAAGAAGAAAGAAAAAAAAAAAACATTCCCCAAATTTCGGAGGAAGAAGAAGGAAGAAGAAGGAAGAAGGGGAAGAAAGGGAAATGAAGGAGGAAGGAAGGAAGAAGCAAAAAAAAAAAAAAAAAAAAAAGCAGAAAGTTGCAGTCGGAGGAAGAAGAAGAAGAAGGAAGAAGAAGAAGAAAAAAGAAAAAAAGAAAAAAAACGTGGATGACACGTGGCGCCCACTCAGTGCGCTACGTCACAGTTAACGAAAAACTTAACAGTTTGACTAACGGATGTATGAGACTGTCCCAAAATTTACACTTTAGGTATGACTCTGAGACGAAAAAAACTTGATGTACTAAATGTTGAAAACCACGAAACATTAGGGTAGTAAACAGTCTTTTACCCTTAAATTTAATAATAATGAAGAGTTGTGGCCTAAGGATTTTGTTTCTCTTTTGGGTTTACCCCCAGAAGTTTCTCCATATTCGCAACCCTCGTTAATAATCCAACTCTCTGAGTTTGATACGTAGCACTCTCCATGCAGTCATCAGGCTTTGTTTTCTTTACTTATTCCAGAGCACCTTTTTTTGTTGTTTGCGTTCATGGTCATCAAATCCCCATAGGATCCTGGAGAGACCCTTCAGGCTTTGTTAATAAAAACAGTTCTCACAAGAGGCAGATTAATTGATTTAGAAGTTACTTTGTGCCACCGGGTGGCCCTAGGCTCGCGTTGCGAGGTTTAAGAGCTTTCGGGGGACTCTCTATCAGCGGTTGAAACCTCTCCGAAGTCCACAAGTGCAAGAACTGAAACGGAACAGTAACCACAACCTCCTCCCCACAAGAAAGAGCTTGCTTCTTAAGCTAAGTCTCTGTAAAGACTTGAAAGGACGGCGGGCGCAAGAGCATCCCTCTTCCCCTGTGACAAACATGCTTGCAATTGGAAAAACATTCTTACCAATGCAATCCTCAGGAAGAGAAGCAAAAACAAACCTTCGTAGCCACAACGACAGGAAAGCTACATGTTCAACATAGGTAAGGGGACTTGTTGAGAATAAGATTCCACATTAATAATGAGAGGGATCTTGCATATGCTTATAAGTAGTTCGGCTATTTTTCATATTGCCGATTAGTTTTACCGTGGGACCTCAACATTCTTCACAACCCAATAACCACATTCTTGTTGTTTTCCCCTGATGATATATCTGGAGCTCAAAATTGCGTCACAAATTTCAGACTAGCTCTAGATGGAGAAGTTTTTACTGGCCAACCTGTTGACCCATTCTCCACTTTACCTAGGGAATCTTCCATCCTTTACTTAGGATAGTGAGCATACACCACATTAAATGGTTGTGACAAAAATGCTCCTGTCAAATTTGGCAGCAAGGAGAAGAGATGTCTTTCCATGTCATGCCACATCAGATTTGGGTTCTCAGTTAGAAAACATTACTGATTTCTTTTATTACCACTATTGCTGATTTAGACATTTCTTTTTGAAGATGCTCTTAGAAAGATTAAATTTGTAGACAAAATTTTGAAAACCAAAGGATATAGAATTTAATGATTGATTTATTACTTAAGCGTTGATAAATGTGTTTATTTCTATTGTTGACACATCACTTCCTTTACAAATTTTGTCTTCAAATTTAGTCTCTCTACCATTATCCTAAAATGATGAGAAAATATGGTAAATAAGTGTGCACTTAATTTAAATTCATGTATTTGTGAATCTGTGATATAACTTTTGGAATTCTCAATAAAAAAAAAGGGGAAAAAAGGACCAACGTGATTCGAATGAATGATGAAGCCGTGTTTCATGTTGTTTTTGTTTTGCGTAGAAGCCGCAAGGGCGCTCTAAACGGCATACGATTGGACGCTCGCGCTCATATAAACCATTTTTCGTATTATTCAATCGAACCCCCTTCCACACTTCTTTTGTGCTTGAGCTGAGGTTTTATTCAAACCCATAAAACTGAAAAGAACAAAAAAACGAGAGGGATAGAGAGGTCTTGAGCTTTGGTGAGATGGAGAACCCACTGGAATCAATGGTTGAAGAGAGGGAGGAGTTGATGGTTCCGCCATCCGGCGGAAACCCCTTTCTTAAAAAAGCCTACTTTCTAAAACCCACTTTGCCAATTTCCACCATTGAACTTCCTTTTGAGCTCCCTCACAGTTTCTCCTCCATCCCTTCCCGTTTCGAGCCAAAGAAATGGCCTTTGCAAGTTGAGTTCCACGGATGGAAACAAGGAACAAAAGATTGGAAATCCTGGGTTGATCAAATGGCTTCTGTGCACCAATCTTCATGGAAGGCGGTTGGTATTTATGAAGCAATCCTTAATTCAACGTACCAAATACGAAGGCAAAACAGTTTGGTATACGGGCTTGCAGAGAAATGGTGTCCCGAAACCAATACGTTTATTTTTCCATGGGGTGAAACAACAATCACATTGGAGGATGTCATGGTTTTAGGCAGTTTCTCGGTTTTGGGGGACTCTGTTTTAAGCCCTCTCGAAACCACACAACTTAAAGAAATTGAAGAGGAGCTACTTCAAGAGAGAAAGGAATTTTACAGGAGTTCGGCTAACAAGTCTACCACAAGCTTGTGGTTGAAGAAGTTCATTAAGAGCGGGCACAAATTTGAGCATGAAGCATTTCTTGTGTATTGGTTGTCGAGGTATGTTTTTAACCATAATGATATAACACATAGACCTGTATTCTCCATAGCAATTCATTTAGCTAGGGGGATTAAAATCGCTCTTGCACCCGCTGTTCTTGCTAGCATTTACAAAGATTTGGGTTTGTTGAAAACGAAAATTGTAGCTTCAAACCAATTGGAAATAGGAGGTGCTGATTTACAAGTCACCCTTAAGTCACCATTCCATTTACTTCAGGTTTGGGCGTGGGAAAGATTCTTGGAACTTAGGCCAAAGCCGAATGTTATAAATTTTGGTGAGACAAGATTGGCTAGATGGGATAAATTAAATGGCATGGAAGTTGAAAACTTGAGAAAGGTTTTAGATTCAGCCGGAGGAGATTTCAAGTGGCGCCCTTACGCCTTGGATGTCATTGAGAACTTGCATTTGCCTAAATACTATCCACAAAAGGAAACATGGGTTTTGGCTGGTTCTGATTCAAATGATGAATTACTGTCATTCATTAGATGTTTGATCGTAAGTGAGCTAGTTGGTCTTGGTACCATTGAGCACTACCTACCGCATCGTGTAGCTATGCAATTTGGATTTGATCAAGACATTCCATGTTCTATTACGCGACTTTTTCACAATTCTGATAAAGCCTGGAAGTATTACAACAATGAAATCAAGAATGTGAAATTATATCTTCCATGTAGGCTTTTCGAGGCTGATGTTAGCATAAAGTATACCAAGTGGTGGAAGAAATCAGTGTCTGGCCTTGAAGATGCAAGTGAAGCTGCTAGTCCACAGAAAAAGAAAGCAAAGGGTACTGATCGGTTGCCATTGATGGTTAACCACCCCCTTGTAACTCCTGGGTTTGCTCCGAATTGCAACATTCTGGAAGCTGAAGATCCTATGGATGATGATGATAAGCTAACAATACCAGAACTTTTGAAAAGAAATAAGAAGTACGAGAATTTTGTGATTATAGAAGATAGTGACAGTGAGAAATTATCGGGTGGAGTTCCGAGTTTGGAATCTAAAATTGCAGGAGAAAGTTCGGTTTGTACCAAGTCAGATAAGGACAATGGAAGAGTCGTTGGTAAAGAAAGTGCCAGCAGTAGCCCTTTATTTGAGAGCCGAGTTTTGGAGTTTGAGAAGCGAGGTTCAGAGATTACGGCTAGGATTAAGAGGCTTGAAAGCATGCTAGATGAGTTAAATGCAGATGTGTAGGGGAGCAAGTTTTAGGAGAATGTAATGAAAGATGGCTCTCCTATCAGTTGGTATTTCCAAACCTTGTTATAACTTATAATTTACTGCTTTTTTGTCTAAATCAGTGATGAGTGCCTTCTTTTTTCTTCTTTTATTACTCATTTTTGCAAAATTTTGTGTTCAATATTTTATCCAGTGGCAATCTTATTTCTTTTTGCGTTACAGTAACACTGTATTTCTGTTATTCTACATGGTACCGACCTTTTGGAATCGTGGAGTAAATGCTTTCTTTTGTGTGCTCTTGTTCTTGGTGCAGGAAAAACGGAGGACGTGAATCGCACTTTGGAATAGCAGGAACTTGGTATTTTGTAAAAAACTGCGGTTTGCCAACCATAGAAATTGAGGGCTTTTATCTTTTGAGTAGTTCTTCGACTGCTATTCCGTTTTCGAAAAAAATTGAAGGAACCACGGTTTGTCCAGTTTACAACTTGAAAGGTTTTTGTGGTTTAAAACTATGCACCTCTTTTCTGTTAAATTCTCCTGCAATTCGTTGTTTGTTTTATTAAACTTCCATGACGCAACAATTCGCAGTATTGACATTGATATAATTTGGTACTAAGTTGTCATGCATATTTTTATGGGGTTTTATCACAAATGGCCTATGAAATTGACCATCACCATCGAGATGATTTCTGAAATTGAAAATCAATCAATGTAGTTCCTGAAAATAGGTGTTGCAAATTAATGCGGTCTTTCCATCATAATTATGTTAAAAAAATATGTTAAGTGCTGATGTGATACATAAATAGATCCCATAAGTCATTTTTCTCATAAATGGTCTTTAAAATTGATCAACGACATCAAAATGGTTCCTAAAATTGACCATCAACATCAAAATGTTCTCTAAAAGTGAACTTGATCAATGACTTATTAAAGTTTTGGTCTATGAATTCATAATCATCTCGCCACTCAAATTTTTGGCTTTATAAAAGTAACCCAAATGCAGATGTTCTTTATCTAAGAAAATAAAATTTAAGAAGAATAAAAAAGTACCTGAAATGGAGAATTATAGACTCTTTAATGTTCATTTTGGAATAGCAGTGAGTGGTCAAAGCACACCACAATTCCGGGGATACATTTGTAAAATAGTAGTTATATTTTGAACGACTCTTTGTGCGTATATAATACTGGTGTAGACGGTGAAGCTATTTACAATTACTATATATTTTATGTAAATAGCTTTTATATATCTATACAGATGATGTTTAAGATCTATCGTTAATCTCTGCTGCAACCCGTGGGCTAAACTTCTTGTTTAAACTATTATGCAAGACATCAATTTCCTTGATATGGAATTCACTCTCCACCGATAGATTCACTGAGTTGATGTACAAAAAAGCTAATGTCGGCTTCGAGAAGCTAACGGAAAAGTAAAGAAACTACAGTTAGTTTTCTTTTTTGAATTGGAAAATTAACATATTAGACATTGACAATAGAAAGTATATGATAATGAATAAAAAAAAATGATATAATTGGCACAAGAGAAACAATTGGAAAAGGCTAAAGCACAATCATGGCAGTTACATAAACAATTGGTTTGTGCATTAAGCACTTACACAAAGAGAGAACTCGGCAGTATGAACGGGAAGACTCGCTCGCTTGGCCGTCAGCGTGTTCTGCGGTTGCACCATCCTATCCGTCGTTGTGAAGGTTCGGTGAAGCTAAGCCGAGGGGGAGGGGGAGGACATGCACTACGAAAAAATGAGACAAACAAATCTGGTCTGCATAAAGAACTGCAACTATATATATATAGAGCTTAGAGCCTTGGATAAAACACATAACTTCAAATGCTATCAAACATAACAGCAACTAGCTATCAACACACCATGAAATCAGTTCGGAAATTGCCTCTTCTTCTTCTCCTTCCTATTTTCTTGCTCTCATTGCTTCCATTGAAAGCCACGTCACCCCCAAGAAGTCAGGCAGAAGCTCTGATAAGCTGGAAAAGTAGCTTTGCTTCTCCACCATCGTCCCTCAGTTCATGGTCTCGTACAAACCTCAACAACCTCTGCAACTGGACTGCCATTGTCTGCAACCAAAACACCAAAACAGTTGCCAAAATAGACCTCTCCAACCGCAAAATCACTGCCACACTAACCGAATTCAACTTCACCCCATTTCTCAGTCTCACTCACTTCAACCTTAATGGCAATAATTTCACCGGCCCTATACCATCTGCCATTAGCAAGCTTTCCAGGCTCACTATCTTAGACTTGGGCAACAACTATTTCACTCAAGAAATACCCGAGGAGATAGGTAAGTTAACGAAGTTGGAGTATCTCAGCTTCTACAACAATGATCTCCATGGTACAATTCCCGACCAGCTCAACTATCTCCAACGGGTAAGGTATGTGCTTTTCGGAAAAAACCAGTTAATAAGAACCCCTGATGGATCTAACTTTTCCGTCATGCCTTTATTGACATACCTTGATCTTTCTCAAAACAATCTGGAATCAAAATTCCCAGCGTTTATATCTAAATGTTGGAACTTGACGTTCTTGGACTTGTCTGAGAATGCCTTGACTGGCCAAATACCAGAAGCAGTATTTACCAATCTGGGAAAGCTTGAGTATCTCAATCTCAGCGACAATTATTTCCAAGGGCGACTTCCAACAAGCTTTCCCAAGCTTAAACATCTCCATTCAGAACTAAACTCTTTCAGTGGTCAAATTCCTGAAGATATTGGTTTGATGTCTCGCCTTCAGCGTATTGACCTGTTTCAAAATTCCTTACAAGGAAGAATTCCATCCTCGATAGGCCAACTCAGAGAACTCCAGTATCTTAATCTTGAGGTGAATTTCTTAAACTCTTCGATCCCTTCTGAACTCAGTCTTTGTACCAACCTCACCTACTTGGCCTTGGCCAAAAATTCCATTAGCGGCGATCTACCTCTGTCCCTGTCAAATCTGAACAAGATTTCAGAATTGGGTTTGGCTTTCAACTCATTTACTGGTCCAATCTTGCCCTCCCTTATCTCCAATTGGACTGAATTGGTTTCTTTGCAGCTTCAAGGGAACATCTTCCATGGAAATATTCCAGATGAAATCGGATTGTTGACAAAACTGACACACCTTTATCTATACGATAATTATTTCTCTGCTGCGATTCCCTCGGAGATCGGAAAATTGAAAGACTTGATAATATTGCATCTTTCAACCAACCGGCTATCAGGGTCAATTCCTGTTACAGTATGTAATCTAACAAGTCTTCAAAACTTAGGGCTTCGGGAAAACAATCTCACAGGGATAATCCCACCAGAGATTTCGCAGTTGAAACAACTGGAGGTTCTGAAAGCCAGAACAACTTGACAGGGGTGATTCCAACGAGTCTGGGCAGTTTGAGTAGCCTCCAGCTACTAGATTTGTCAAATAACAATTTGACAGGCGAAATACCAGGCGGACAGGGCTCGTTTTGCTGTTTAACAAGCTTTAACATAAGCCACAACAATTTATCGGGTGAAATACCAGCGGTGATTACTGACATATACACAAGTCACTCCTTGGATCTTAGCAGCAATTCTCTATCGGGAGCAATACCTTCAAACCTGGACAAGCTCACGATGTTAGTGGTTCTCAATGTCTCACACAACCATCTCTTAGGGGAAATCCCATCAGCACTTTCCAGCATGCCTCGTTTGGAACGGTATGACTTTTCTTATAATAACTTGAAGGGTCCAATCCCAACTGGTGGCATTTTCCGAAAAGCATTGACAAATGCTTTTTCTGGAAACTCTGGCTTATGTGGGCATGCTGAAGGCCTAAAGGAATGTAGTTTCAGAAAGAATAACAGCACAGTTCTAATTGGTGTCCTTGTACCGGTTTGTGGCCTATCAATGGTTGTCGCTGCCATCGCTCTGATTTTAAAGTTTCGGAAGAAATCCGAGGCCGTTCTTAAGAAAATCAAAAGTTCTAAAGAATTTGAGAATATTGAGTCGATGATAATGCAAGAAGAAGTTAAATTTACATTTCGGGAAGTTATCAAGGCCGTAGACGACTTTCACGAGAAGTATTGCATTGGAAGAGGAGGATTTGGTAGAGTATACAAGGCGGAGCTCGAATCAGGTCAAGTTATTGCAGTTAAGAGACTTAACACAGAAGACTCTAATGATATCCCAGGAATTAATCTTCGAAGTTTTGAAAATGAAATCCGAACTTTGACAAATACCCGGCATCGCAACATCATAAGGCTATATGGATTCTGTTCTAGGAGGGGATGTATATTCTTGCTTTATGAATTCTTAGAGAGAGGCAGTCTGGGAAAATCTTTATATGGGATTGAAGGGGTTACTGAACTTGGCTGGGCTACAAGGGTCAAAATTGTGAAGGGACTTGCTAATGCACTTTCTTACTTGCACCATGACTGCACTCCACCAATTGTGCACCGTGATGTAACCATCAACAATGTATTGCTCGAACAGGATTTTGAGCCCCGTATCTCTGATTTTGGGATAGCAAGACTATTGAGTAGTGACTCATCCAACTGGACACATATTGCTGGTTCATTTGGCTACATGGCACCAGGTAATGTAGCAATTCAATACTCTGCATGTTTGGCATTGTTTCGTTGATTGAGATATGTTTTGAGGTTGCTTGTTTTGTTTTCCTTGATCTGCAGAGCTTGCATTCACTATGCGAGTCACAGATAAGTGTGATGTATACAGCTTTGGAGTGGTGGCACTAGAAGTCATGATGGGAAGGCACCCCGGGGATATGCTTGAGTCTCAACTATCAGCATCAACATCAATGAATGAAAATGCAGAGTTGCTTCTTAAAGATTTGTTAGATCAAAGGTTGGACCCTCCAACCAATGCATTGGCAAAGGCAGTGGTGCTTGTGATGAGTTTATCCTTGGCTTGTGTGCATACGCATCCTGGGTCTCGACCAACAATGTTTTTTGTCTCACAAAAACTATCTGCTCAAACCCTGCCTTCCCTTTCCGAACCATTTGGGATGCTAACCATCAACAAGCTGAGGGGGTTACATATTAAAAAGAATGATATTACAGCTACCTAGTTAGAGGGGTCTTGTCCTACGTCTCCCTCTTTTTCTTGTATTTTCTTTTTCAAAATGGTCATGGTTTATGTCCTCCCTCTTTTTCTTGTATTTTCTTTTTCAAGAAAGGTAAGGTTTATATCCCCCTCTTTTCCTGTATTTGCTTTTCTTGCTTTATGAGGGGTAAGATTTATTTCCTCCCTGATTAGGTGTAACTTTATTTTTTCATAACAATAAAATTTTCTCGTACCGCCGAGGTCCTTAAAAAAAAAATACTAGCTAGTTAGATAACTCTACGTTTAAGAGAACCTTCATAAACATGTATTTTTTTTGCTAATTCCTAGAAAATTTGAAAGTTGTTTTAATCAGGCCTCATTCCTCATATTACATAATTCTTTTAATTAAAATAATTATGCGAGGTTAGCTCCTCAGAGTAGGACATGAAAACGTCGACCCTCACCCAAAGGCGAAGGTTCCTACAAATTCTCACAAAATGTTCAAGGGAGTGAGAACTGTCCCCAACAAATTCTCATACCGTGGATTAACATCCACACCATCAAAATCACTCATCTTTCCATTCGCGTGTCAGATTTGGTGACTGTTATAGAGACATGTTCTCAGTTGTTTCTTCTCAATTGTTTCATTTTGTTGCACCAAATCCAAATTAGCTCAAAAAATATCTCAAATCCCTAAACCTTACAACATCTCAGATTTCCCCACTTTGTGTCTCATACATCTCTTCTCCTCTGTCTTTCCATCCCTTCACCCACATATCCTCCAATTGCCTGCTAGATGCTTACCTTCAATTGAGAAAAGTTTTCTGGCCGTTGTGTTTGCTACCCACCTCGAGAGCGAGTCGTCCGTCACACAAATGAAGGTGTGCAAAACCACTTTGGTGGTTTGGGTCTTTGCCTCGCCTCCTTCTGCGGTTCTGATTATGTTGTCTACTTGCTTTGTTGGTATCAGAATTCTTCCGTTGCTGGTCCTCGAGTGGTGGACACGGTTGCTGGATTTGGTTGTTTCTTTGGTCCGTTGAGTGTTTTTGGATAATTTTACTGTACTATTTGTGGATCTTTGATGTTGCGAATTTAGGGATTTATTTTGTATTTCATTTGGGGCTGCCTTGTATTTGTGTTTTTGTTTTGGGGCCTTTGGTTTTTGTTGGTGGTGACGGACCTGAGCACTGGAATGGCGAGTTGCATAGTGACTGTGATGGTGACGATTTCTATCAACGGATTGATCTGATTTGGTCATCATGTGCTTTTTCTTTGGACTTCCTTGTCTTTTCGGTCTAATTGCAGCTTATTTTTATGTTTATCTTATTAAACATCTGTAACATTTTCTTCTATCAATGAAGTTCATGTTTGACTGAAAAAAAAGAAGGTTCGAGTTACTACTATACTTAGGAGCATTTCTGCTATTGAATAAAAGAATTGTCACTCAGTACTACGATTTGGTAGTATTCATCTTCACTAGTAACTGAGAAATGTCTAAGGCTTGAATCTTTGGATGGCGAATTCGATATCAAATTAGATTGCCCATTTTGTAGCTTAGCCGAACTCCTCATTCCCTTAGTGTAAAATATATCGTTGTACTAAAAAAAATATAATAATATTAGAATTGATTCCGATTAAGCAAAAAAATAGCTAGCTAGCTAGGATTATGATCGGACATTCACCTCCGATCTGCACAATAGAGTAGCCCTCGTCATATTTTCGGACCAACTTCCGTTACTCACGCAAACTCTAATTTATTCCATCGACGGAAATTGTGGACTCGTTCTCATCAAACCATTTTTGAATGCTCTAGACATTTTGGAATCATATTTCATCCTAAACCCCCAAAAAATCCGAAACTTTCAAGCAGAAGAGAAAGAGAGAAAAAAAAATCCATGGTGGAAGAGAGGAGTTGATGGTTCCCCCATCTGGTGGAAACCCATTTCTCAAAAAAGCCTACTTTCTAAAACCCATTTTGCAGAACTCCTCCATTGATGAACCCCTTTTCAAGCTCCCATCTTTTTTCTCCTTCATCCCATCACATTTCGAGCCAAAGAAATGGCCCTTAAAAGTTGAAATTCTTGGATGGACTTACAGCCAAAAAATTGGAAAACTTGGGTCGATCATATGGCATCTGTTCACCAATCTACCTGGAAGAAGGCTGGCATTTATGAAGCTATCCTAAATTCGATGTACCATGTAGGAAGAAAGACCGATTTGGCATATGGGTTTGCAGAGAAATAGTGTTTTGGGACCAATACTTTCATCTTTCCGTGGGGTGAAGCAACAATCACATCAGAAGATGTCATGGTTTTAGGGCGGTTTTTGATTTTGGAGCACTCTGTTTAAGCCCTTTAAAAACCACAGAGCTGAAACAATTTGAAGAGAAACTGCTAGCAGAGAAAAAGGAATTTTATAGAGGAGGGTCTAACAAGGCTCACACATGCTTGTGGTTGAAGAAGTTCATCAGGGCGGGCATGAATTTGAGCACAAAGCTTTTCTTGTTTACTGGTTGTCAGAGTATGTTTTTCATGATGGTAATATAATATATGTTTTCCCATTGCAATTCATTTAGCTTGGGGAACAAGAATTGCGCTTGCACCCACTGTTCCTGCTAGCATTTACAGAGATTTGGGTTTGTTAAAGAGGAAGATTGTAGCTTTGGACGAAGTAAAAATAGGTGGTGATGATTTAGAACTCACCCTCAAGTCTCATTCCCAATTGGATCAGGTTTTGGCATGGGAACAATTCTCTGAACTTAGGCCAAGGCCCAATTTTATAAATTATGTTGAGTCAAGATTGGCAGGTGTTAATGGTCTGAAAGTACAAAACTTGAGAATGGTTTTAGACTCAGCTGGGGAATTGTTCATGTGAAGCCTTTGTGCAATGGCAGTCAATAACTGGAATTTGCCTGAATACTATCCACAAAAGGATTACTAGTTTTGGTTGGTCCTGATTTAGATGATGAATTACTGTCATTTGTTAGATGTTTGAGGGTCACTGAGCTAGTTGGACTCGGCACTCTTTAAGTCTTAGGAGTACCTTCCACATCGACGTAATTACAATTCTGATGTTGCCTGGAGGAATTAAATCAAGGAAATCAAGAATGTAAAATTGTATCTTCCAGCTAGGCTTTCAGAGGCGGATGTTAGCACAAGGTACTTGAAATGAAGGAAGCAAACAGTGTCCGGTCTCAAAGGTGCAAGTGAAGCTGCTGTGCCGCAAAAAAAGAAAGCAAAGAGTAGCAATTGGTTCTGTTGAGGGCTGACCACCCCACCATATAGGATGGTTGGAATTCAAGTTTGTTATTGTTAGATTGAGCCGGTAAGTTTCTGGAACATTGATGAGAAACATATTGAAGGATAGTCACTCGATGCTTAATGGAGAAACTAATAAAAATTTTGGTTTTGAGCTTTATTCCTAAAGGACTTCACCATAAGGATTTAATCCGATTTTTTTTTTTTACTACTGGGACTATCTTTTGACTACCCTATAAGCCTATAACTGTGGTGATCACTTACCCAATTAGGCCCTTTATTTGTGTAGCTAATTTCGCTTGGTTTATTCACAATTGAGATTGACCATCAAGTTCTTGCTTATGTGGAGCCAAAAATGTAACGATCCGTCTCCAATTATTACGGTTTTTATAATTTTAAAATGTGAAATTACGAAAATGCCCTTTGAGGTAAATACGTTGACTTTTGTTAACTGCCTTGTCGTGTCACGTAAGATCCGTTTTCTTGGCATATTCTTGTAGTACTCATCGCTACGAAGGCGTGGGTGCAAATGGAACGTAATTTGGAGTTATAAACGATTGAAGTTGAGGGCAAAATGATAATTTGACCATAAATCTGGAAGGCTCCAGAATTACTAGAGCAGTGAGATGGTGCCACATGTGTGGCTGTGATGGAAGGAAGAGGAGAGAAAGGAGTGGGGGGACTGCCCAATCGGGAAGAAGGGGAAGAGAGACTAACCAATCAGAAGAAAGGGCAAGGAGGGGAAATGAGGGAGGAGAAAAGGAGGGAATCCAGACCTCCATTCGACTCGCGACCCGACCCGATTCCTATGAACACCCTGACGCCTTTCACATTGTTTCTCCAGCGAATCACGGGGAATAACCACCACCAATCAACTCAGCATCGTCCTAGCTTCCATTCCTACCCAAACTTGATGGTTGTGGGTCACGATTTCACGACGAATGAACGTCGTCTTCTCCATCACCCATGGCGGCGATCCACCGTTTCTGAAGCTAACACTGACGATCACCATTACCAATAGACTATTCTCAACCCCAGGAGAAAGGCTTAAGCATTGGATGAGGCATCATAGTTCATTTTGGTGATGAATTGAGACCACCAATTTCTAGGGTTTTGATAGAACGCAGTGATGAAACAGTGCATAGAGTATAGAGGAAAAAGGTAAAGGAATAAACTAAGACATTTGATTTTCATTCATGCCATTCCCCAATTGTGAAAAGGGGTTTATATACAACCCTAAAAGGGGGGGTGCCCAAATTGGAACACATCTCTACCCTCACTACCGTTGGATGGAACCATCCACAACAAGGATAAGACAAAATACCAAGACTAATAGTTGTCTACTATTTTTTGAGGTCCTAACAATCTTGCTCCCTAAGAAAGAGTTCGTCCTCAAGCGTTGAAGTCGGGAAAATGTTCAAGAATGATGTCTGCATCCTCCCAGGTAGCATCGTGTTCCAGTAAGCCCATTCATTTGATCTGCCATCGCGTGACCGCATGGTTCCCCCGTTTAAATATGCCTCGTTGTATAATGGTTTCCGGTTTCCAAGTCACAAGTCCCTTGTCGGACATAGGAGGAAGCACAAAGGCAGCAATCACATTAGAACCTAGCTTAGGTTTGAGGAGGGAAACATGGAAGGTGGGGTGTATGCGAGAGTCGGGAAGCAGGTCCAAGGTGTAGGCAACCTTCCCAACATGAGCAAGAACCTTGTAAGGACTATAGAACCTGGGTGCCAATTTGGGGTAGTTTTTATGATTGATCGAAGAT